AAGGAATTCACAACCTCCTTTGGCACACCGGCCTTCTCAAAGTAAGTCTGGAAGGATTCGGATTGTTCTGCAGTGAGTCGTTCAGATCCTCGGACCAATGATGGTCTGTAATCAATTTTCGGAAGGAGGTCCTCCAAGTATACTATAAATTGTGTTAGAATATCTTTATTAGATAGGAATGAGGCTTACGTCTATCCACCGGAAATGTTCTTCCGGGTATCTCGATAACAGGTGCTTGATGGAAATACTCCGAGAACACTCTCTGGTTGATGGTGGCGCTCATAAGAATGATCTTGAGATTTTTGTTAGATTTGATGATTTCTCTCAACTCCAATAACAGAAAGTCGCTGTCCACAGATCGCTCGTGGACCTATTAAACCGATTAGGGAGCAAAACGTTACTTATCTGCCCAACATACCTCATCCACTACGACATGTGTCACGCTTTCCAATCTATCTCCGGAGGCCATTCGTCGTAGTAAGACACCAGTAGTGCAAAACAAGAGTTTGGTGGTAGGCTTCGTACGACTTTCCCCTCTAATAGAGTATCCGACAGAGCCATCTTCTATACGTTCTGCAGAGACACGAGCGGATACGCCGAGGACTGAAACTCGTCTTGGTTGCGTGACGATGATGGAAGTCTTTGACCCGTTCAGAGATTCGATTTGTCCATCTAGTATGAATTGAGGAACTGCTAAATATCAGTGCTGTACTAAGACGGATAAATTAACCCTGACGTTGCGTAGTTTTGCCACATCCTAGCTGATTGTCAGTTCAACTTTGTCGAAGTTTCATCAACACTTACCGGTCTCGCCAACTACTATGATTATTTGATTTTCAATAATCATCTGTTTGATCTTCTCTCGGTTGTCCCAGGCGGGAAGCCTCTTACGGGCTTCTTCCATTACTTTGTAGGCTTTCGATGCTTTGAGGGTTTGGAACTCTTCTAGGATATGTTGGTCCGTTCTCGAATCTAGTGATTTACTTCGGGAGGTAGATTTGGCTTTGCCTGTAGGAAGCTGCATTTCCTCTGATGCTGCAGTTTTGGTAGGAGGTGGCAAAAGATTTCTCAAAACATCTTCTAGCTTGGGTGGTCCGTTTGCTTCTACTGCCTCCCAACCAGCTTCCAATGCTTCAATGGCGTTGAAGCAGATGCTTTCATTCTCATACCGTTCTCCGTTGGGTGCGATAGCAGAAAAGACAACAGAAGTAAGGTGAAGACGAATATAAGGGGATATTGAGTTCGAGGAAATGTAAAAAGGAGGAATTCTGGTGGTTTCGGGATATGGGTGAAGTTTTGGATAGATGACATGAAAGCTAACGGGTGCCGTCAAGCAAGGTATGGACAAGATGGAGGTCTCTGAGTCATATGTAGCAGAGGGATATACAGCCTGAACGGCTTCTATCTCTGATTGTCGACCCATTTCTCTCGAATCTTGATCAAATTCTTGAAGTGTCACCTGTGGAGGTGAAACACCTGTGAGCTTGTAGGCTAATGTCTCGAAGACCGTTTCTGGCTCGCCGTCTACATTCTTCATCACATCCCTTGCAGCAGCACGA